ATTTATCCATGGTTACCGGAATTTTAAATAATTACGAAGCAACAGATATTTGCGCAATGTTAATTAGGCAGATTACCTTGAAAAATATTGCTGCCGTATTTCTGATATAGTTTTTTGCAAATTTCTCAGTTTTTAATAACAATTAACTTCTTTTACTAGCTTTTCTGTACTCCTATAAGAGCGCCAGACAACACCTCCAGAGGAATGACGCCAATTTTGAATCACCCTGTATACTAAAAACAAAAACAGAACATGGGTCACCAGTAACTACTTAAAGGAAAAAACTGATAATAAAGTCGAACGGTTCAAATAAAATATACCTTCTGCATGCGAAAATGTTCAAAAAGCTAATTTTCGTTTAAAAATGAATTAACATTTAAGAATAACTTTTTGCGTATGCTTTTTACCAAGTCTAGTTCCTTGATTACCTCGAAAAGCATTGTTGCCGTTCTTCTGATATAGTTTTTAGCAACTGAGCAAACTTTTACACCCCCAGAGGAATGGCGTCAATTCTTAATCAGGCCGTATTGTGGAATGTTAGCGAAAGCATTCTGAATTTCACAGCTTTAGAAAATCGTTACATTTATCCAAGAAGTGACACATTTGAGGTGTTAACTTTCGCACCCTTTATTCCCTTAGATCATTTTCAGGCTCCAGTCATCTGCACACACTGGTGTTTGTCTCTTCTTTTAACTGTAAAAATTTTCAAGAAAAGCATTAAGGCCGGTTTGCACCGTTGAAAATAAGCTTGGCTTTGCCATTAAGCTCAGCTTTAAAATTTAATTGGTTTGCACCACATTATAAACCAGGGTTACAGCATTCAAAGCTCGGCTTAAATTAAGCCGTCAACTTTGGTGGCTTATGGTATTAAGCCGTGAATTCTAACCTTAATTTAGTCGAATAATGCTTTAAAAAGTTAGGGAAAATAAAGCAAATTTTTATTTTACAAAACAATGGATATCGAAGCTTTTTTTGATATATTTGAAGATGATTTAGATATCCTCGAGATAATTGAATTTGGATTTCCATAGAGAATTTATATCAGAAATAATCCCTTGGAGGACTTGGACGAACTAACTTTTCAAAGCAATAAAACTAAAATAGACATATTTCTTATGGAAATATCTGCTTGATTAAACTGAAGACAGTAAAAGCAAGAGGAACAAAAACCTAAATAAAACTATGCAATTGCTTAGTTTTAATGTTCAATTCCATCTTCATTATTTCCATTATTTTTAAATGCTCTGTCCTTTTGCTGAAACTGAAACCCATCTCGAGGTTAGGTAAAGCAGCCAACAAACGCTCTGTAGTTAGTTTAGAGTCGAAAATACCTCAATTCTCTCGTTAAGCTCGGCTTACTAAAGCGGGGCAGCAAGTTCATTGGTGCAAGGATAGTGGATTTAAGCCCAGCGTTTTTCTAAGCCAAGGCTTAGTAAAGCCCACAGTATAAACATTATATTCATTTAGGTCTTGCACAGCAAAGACCTAAATGAATATAATGTTTACCAATTATGAGTTTGAATTAATTTTAAAATCTGATGATGGCGCTGTTGTCTCGTCGAAACGTAACGAAATAAACAATATACAAAAAAAAATGTTTCACACTGTGACTGGATCCCAGTAAAGAAAATACTATAATAACAATTACTATTTAAAAAAACTTTATTGGATTCAACGCAAAAAGTTCTAGCAAGGACAATTTTAACTTAGTTAAGTTAAGCAGATTACGTAACATGTGATAATTAAAAAGGGTCGTTCAGGATATTTCAGAAATCAAGTCGGGAACCTAAATTTAAAAAAATGGAATTCTGCCCAATTTTGCCCATTTAACGGATTCTCTATCTTTAAAAATGTAGAAGTTACCCTTACAAAGACTCAGAAAATCGCCACCTTGTATACTAGACCTAACAAGGCCAAAGACGAAGATTAATTGCTTGTTCATTTTACGTGATAAACCCGTCTCTTGACCACCTAGAACGCCAGAAATTGTATTTTTCTATGGATGTACATAAAGTTATTCTATATCACAATCAAACTGCTCCAGCTATTGCACCAGCTATGAAAACAACCGGCTAAGTTGAATGGCCCATCTATCATGAGTCCCCAAAGTCTTCTTCGGACTGAAGGTTGTTCAACCGTATGGTTGGCTCAAGCTCTACTCTCTTTCAATACGTACATTGCAGGGCCATTAGATTACAAGATTGGGGGGTAGAACGTGTTTTGGTTGCAGCTCTTTATTAGGTCACATTCAAATAGATTTATTCCACAAACTGGGTAAAATCCGACAGGTGGAAACAAAACCGCATAATTAAAGCCACAGCAGTTGATAGAATGGTTTACGGCTAATTTTGCTTGCGAGTGTAATGAGAAGTGATAATTTTCTTTTTAGACTGTGCCAAATATACCAGATATTTGCATTAAATTGTTAACATTTGAGGTGCGTATAAAACACAAATGTTCCAAAAAAGTGTTAAATCGGAAAAATGAAGAATCTGTATTTAACAGAAATCCCAAATAACGAAACTATAATTAGGAGAGATTTGAAAATTGGACGGTATGCCGAAGTCATTGGGGGCAACCGATCTAAAATATCTTCAATATGAATATACCGGAAGTAGGTATCAACTTGCTTATTTTAAATGGGACCCCCTATATGTTATTAGATTTTAAAATTTTACTCCATCCTATACCTAAGTCTAACGGTTTTTGATATATTTCAAATTTTATGTAAAAAATGACTGTTGCAACAACTCGAATAATTATTAATTTTTCCTATTAGCAAATATGTGCTACTTGATTTGAGTGGCATTTCTTGTTGCAAAGGACTCACTTTAATGGAATTTCGACAGCATTTTGATAACTATGAAATCAAAGTGTTAACAAAATTAATTTGAAAATGGCGTTGAGTAAACTGGTTCCCTGTGGGACACCTTGTAAGTAAAGTGATAAAAATAAACAAGTCAGAAAGTACGCAATTCAATTAAAAAGTGGAGCTAAGCTCCACCCTTCTTGTTCCGAAATACGATTCACTTTCGCAGTGGGTGAATGTCAAAAAATGTGCATTGGTAGCACACAAATCTTGTGTGGGGAGTTATTTGCCACCGAAAACAGCGGGAGAGAACCCATTCGTTTAGGGTTTTAGGTGTTCTATTTGATATTCAGTCCTTCGAAGGCAGAACCTTGATTTATTGACAACCCAACAGACAAAGCAGCCTCGGAACCATTCATTTATAATAGCTAACAGAACACTGATTGTGTAGTAATTGTGCTCCCAATATAGGTAAAAGAAAAGGCAAATAAAATAAACAAAAGAACACACATAAATGAGACGAAGTCTCACATTGAATGTGAGTGATTGCGGCAGGTGGCGGACTCCACTGTTTCAAAACCGAAATTATTTGATCACGTCGACCAAGACCGGTGACACTCTTCGAGCGCAATCGCTGGCAACTTATAAAATCCACAACATGCTTTTTTCCGTCTTTGTGGCCGGTAAACAGTAAAAACAAATCGCAACCGCTAAACAATAGGCATATATTTCATGTCTTAAAAGAATATAATAATGTTAAACAGCAGTTTGCGTTCAAACAACGCTGGCGGAACGAAATTTTTGGAAAGTGCTCGCCTTGCGATT